CCTTTTCCAGAGTAGTGTAGTTTTCATTGTAGAGGTTTTTTTCTTCCCTGACTGGGTAAATTCCTCATTTTTTAATTTTTCTATTTATTTATTTTTAATGTATTTGGTTATTACAGGATCTCACTATGCAGCTTGAACTTGTGGTGTGATTCTCTTATTTTCAGCCTCCCCAGCACTGGGATTATAGGCGTGTGCCACCACATCCGGTTTCAGTGGGCTCAATGTGCCTGGGCAGCTCACTGTGGCATGTGGTTCTGGGGATTGAACCTGGTCCCTGTGCTTGCCTAAGAAGGTGCTTAGTCCACTGAGCTATGTCACCTGACCTGGCAAGGGATTTTTTTTTGTTCTATTTGTATAATATATTTATTGATTTGCATATGTTGAACCATCCTTGCATCCTGGGGATAAAGCCAACTTGGCCTAATGTATGATCTTTTTTATGATTTGTTGCATTCTGTTTGTCAGTATCTTTTGAGTATTTTTGCATCTATATCTACTAACTGGATTCCTCTGCAGTTACCTATTTTGGTTGGATCATTGATTATTTTGAAATCAGAATAATGATGGTTTCCAGGGATGACCTTGGGAGTACTCCTTCCCTTTCAATAACATTATAAAGTCTGAAGAGTGTTAGAACCTTACTTAAGTTCTTACAGAATTCAATGGTGAATTTATTGGGTCCTGGGCTTTTCTTTTTGGTATTTTTGAGACAGGGTCTCACTGTACATTTCAGCCTGGCCTGGAGCTTACATGGTAGCCCAGTTTGGGCCATCAGCTGGTTCCATGTTTTGGTTATTGTGAATTGTGCCACAGTAAACACAGGCAAAAAGGTATTCCTAAAGTATAGTGACTTTAATTCCTTCTGGTATAGTGGAATAGTTGGGCCATATGCTAGTTCTGTGTTCATTTTTTTGAGATCCTTTGTACCGATTCCACAGTGACTGTTCTAATTTAGATTCCTGCCAGCAGGGTAGAAGGGCTCCTTTTTTCCCCTTGCATCCTTGCCAGCATTTATTGTTTTTGTTTTTGTGTGTGTGTGTGTGTGTGTGTGTGTGTGTGTGTGTTCTTGATGACAGCCATTCTGACTGGCATGAAATGGAATTGCAATGTAGTTTTGATTTGCATTTCCCTAATGGCTGAACATGTTAAATATTTTGGCATATACTCATTTACCACTTTTCCTTTTCTGTTTTTATTTTTAATTTTTATTGAGTGTTATAAAAATGCATCAAAATTTTCAACATCAACTGGTTTTGGTGTACAACATCTAAAAAGAACAACAGAAATAAACTTCTATATGTACTATAATGAAAACACTAGTAACACTCTAAAAAAATCTTTATTTCAATTAACATACCTAAGACAGTCTTCACGCATGACAACAGCACATTTCATATGCACGCATTACTACACACACATTGCTTACACTGACAGCACATGTATTTGCTTTCCTGGCCTTTTTGTAGAACATACTTGACATCTTACTCTGCTTGCTGTTTTGTCACATTCAGAGTGACAAAATTATTATATTTTGAAGTGTGTAATTAACTGGAGCATAAAATATCAATAAAATAAATATTAAGTTTGTAATGTATATTGTACATTTAGAATAAACAACATTTTCACATCAGCTGTGTACTTAGTTACAACACCTAAGAAATAACATTGGAAATAAAACCTATGTGAGCTATAATATAAACACAAGCAAAATTATCACAGAGCTAATTTGCTTTAATTGTCACACCCAAGACAATCTGACAAGTGCGTGTTCCATGCACATGTCTCACGTTCATTGGCAGCACATGTGCTTAGCTTTCCTTTCCTATGTGGCAGGCCTTTCCTGTCACCTCACTTCTCTTTCTGCTTTGTCAGGAGCTTTCTACTATGTTGTACAGTGTGCACTTAGCAGGGAAGTAAGATATCAGTAAAATAAAATATCCAGTGTGTAATGAGTGCTTAGAGTTAGACATCAACATTTTTGCATCAGCTGTTTACTTGTTTACAAAATCTGAGAATGTCAGAAAGAAAAACTCTACATTAACTACCATGAAAATACCAATAGAACTCTAGAAATGGAATAATATTTGCTTCAATGATCATAATCAGGGCAGTCTTCACATGTGAAAATTGCAGGTTCCATGCATAAGTTTTGCTTACACTAATAGCACAGAGGTTTTGTTCTGTCCTTTCTTATAGGGCACAGATGACATCTTTTTTTTTGTTTTCCTGTTGTGGTTTTTTCCTTTTTTCTTGAGAAGTATCTTTTTAGTTCATTTGCCCTTTCTTCAATTAGACTACTGGTTAAGTTTTTAAAGTTCTGTATATTCTAGGTATCAATCTTCTTTTGCAAGTGTAGCTGGAAAAAATGTTCTTCCATTCTGTAAGTTATCTCTTCATTCTGTTAGTTATTTCTCTGCTGTGCAAAAACCTTTTAATGTAGTGTCACTTGTTGATTCCTGCTCTTATTTCCTGTGCTGTTAGGGTGCTATTTAGGAAGTCTTTGCCTGTGGCGCCGTGCCAGCGTTTCCTGTAAGTTTCTTAGAGAACTTGCAGAGTTTCAGGTTGTCTTGATTTTTTTTTACAGGGTAAGAAATAAGGATCGGACTTTCACTTTCCACATATAAATTCCTAGTTTTCCCTGCATCATTTGTTAGGAATGTTGTCTTTTCTCCAGTATTTTTAAGTTCTTTGTTAAGAATCAGATGACTGCCCTATCCCCAGTGCGCCCTGAGATGGCTAATGAGACTGGGCGTGGTGGCGCTCACCTGTAATGCTCACGCTTGGGAGGCTGAAAACAGGAGGACTGTTATGAGTCAGATCTATGTAGTAAAACCCTGTAGACCCTGTACTAAATTAAAAAAAAATCTGATGACTGTAATTGCATGAGTTTGTTTCTGTATCTTCTATTCTGTTGTGTTGGTCTGTAGGTCTATTATTTGTGCCATGCAATTTTTGTTACTGTGGCTTTATGCTATAATTTGAAATTGGATATTATGATACCACTAGTCTTGCTCTTATTGCTTAGGATTGCTGTGGCTGTTCTTGGACTTTCCTGTTTCCATATGAATTTTAGGATTGTGTTGTCTAGTTCTGTGAAGAATGTCGTTGGAATTTTGATAAGAATGGCATTAGATCTGTAGACTGCTTCTAATAATATGGCCCATTTTAACAATATTTGGCTGCTGCATGAACATAGGATGTCTTACATCTTCTAGTCTCCAGTTGCTTTCTTCAGTTTCTGCACTCTTTATTGTAAAGATCTTTTACCTCTTTGGTTAGATTGATCTCTAGGTATTTTTTTGAAGCTATTTTGAATGGAATTGGTTTCCTGATTTCTTTCTTAGCTAGTTCATTATTGGTATATAGAAAAACCACTGATATAAAATTTTTTTTAAATCTTTATTTATCTGATACAAGGTCTTGCTACTCAGCTCAGACTCATAGTAATCTTCCTGTTTCAGCTTCCCCAGAGCTGGGATTACAGGCGTGTGCCACAGTAGCTGGCATTGTATGCTCAGGACTGGCATGGTATATGGTACTGGGGATTGAACTGGGGTCCTTGTGCTTGCCAGGCAGGCCCTTATGCCGCTGAGTTATCTCTCCAGCCCAGCTACTGATTTTTTTTCAAAGTTTTATTGATAAACAGATAGCAGTGAGACAGTTTCAAATCAAATTGAAAGTACAATTTCAACAAATAATACACTGCATATATTCTTCTTAGTGGTTAATTGCTGTACAAGATGCAGACTTGTGATCCTACTTACAAACACCATTAGAACAAATCATTCTATTCATTAAGAGAATGCAACTATATATCTATCCCAACCACTTTGAATACACAGATACAAAATGGACATTCATAGTATACCTCATTTTTTTTAAGTTCCGTTATTGAATGTCGGGCGCTCGTTGAAATCACACGCGAGTCAGATGGTGCTTAAGCTTCTCTTTATTCTTCTCTCTCCCGAACTTCTCCCCGGAACTACTACTCAACCGAACTACTTCTCCGAACTACTTCCCGAACTCCTCCGCCGAACTACCCCGGACCTTCCGTAACATCCTCTTTTATACTCCCCAGGACCAATCAAATAAGGCTGCGTGTCTTAACCGGCCAATGGGCAAGTGCCTGGTTGTAACAGCTCTTAGCCAAATAGAATGCACCAGCAGAGGTTAAGCGTAGCTCTGGAAATCCCCCGTGGGGGAGGGCAAGCATGTAGGGCGCCGGCGCCCAACAATTGAATATTATAGGTGTGTAAACTCAGCAAAATATTCTAAAATAGTCCAGTAGCCCATAATAGCATTGGGTCTTCTGTTTAACTGGCAATGTCAGAAATTATTGACCTGAGTCCCCCACAGCTCAACTTAACAGCATGGCTTTATTTCTTATATTTCGTCTTCATACTTTTCTACTGGATGGTTAAGACCAAGGTAAAGCAGGACCTATGCAACAAGAGTTGCCAGCTACTGATTTTTTAATGTTGATTTTGTATCCTATGGTTTTCAAATACTATTTTCTATCAAGCTATCATTGAAGATAGAAAAATTGTGTAATTTCTGAAAGAAATGTGTGTCCGTGGAGCACAATAGTATGGTGAAATTAATTTTGACTTTTTAATGAGAGGCATATTTTCAGTGATTGGATATACTAATAGTACCTAATAACCCCTTTAAAACATTTTGAGTAATAGGAAAAACAGAGATTTTAAAAATCACTGATTACTGGGTATAGTGGTGCATGCCTATAATGCCTGCACTCTGGAGGCTGAGGAGGAGGATCACCACAATTTCAAGGCCATACTCTGGTTTCTCTTCAGATCATATAAATATTTCACCTTTTACAATTTCAAGGCCAGCCTGAGCTACACAGTGAATTCAAGGTCAGCCTAAACTACATAGTGAGATCCTGTCTCATAAGAACAAAAAATGAAAAAAGAAAAAAAAAGAACTTAAAAATAAAATAAAAATCATTTATCTTGTTGGGTGGGGGAATCACTTGCAAGGTCTACTCAAGTCCTCCTGTGTACTCTCTGGACCAAGTATTTGCTGGATTTCGAACACGAAGTCAGATGCTGTTGGGTCACATAGAAGAACAGGATGAAGTTCTCCACCACCAATTTTCTGATAAAAGTGATGATGAAGAATCAAATCAAGAGAAACCTAGAATTAGGTATGTTAAATACAGTGTTATTTAATAAACATTATTATAATTAAATGATGCAATCAGTACAGAAGATACAGTTTTTTCATTGAAGTATATATTTTTTAGTTAAAAATGTGAGTAGTTCTTCCTAAATGAACTGTCAGTTAATGTATTATGAAAGTAGTGTTTGAACATGTCATCAGTCTTACAAATGAAAAGCAATTTTGCTTTCAGATATTTTATAGTTAATTGATTCTAATTTCTCAAGGGAATTTTTTGGATTTCCTGATTCTGCTGCCTCAGTAGTAGCAAAAATGATCAATTTTCACTGAAGCCAACATTGGGAGGAGGCTCCTTTTATTTTGAAGAATACTAATGAAAATCCTATTAATGTTTTAACATTATAGTTTTTATTATTAACTTTTTTGAGAAATAAATTTGAGGGTAGATTTAGAAATGTAAACAAACAAGTGACTTTGATCCCAACTTTTTTTTAAATGTAGAAGTCAGTCATGGAACAAAAAACCAGATTCTGTTTGTTCTCTTGTTGAGTTGAATAATACTCAGGATGAAACACAAAAGTCAAATTTGGAGAATGCAGGTATGTAGACTCCCAAGTAATTTTAATTTAATGGTTATAAGCCACTTTAATGTTTTATTTCAGTAGATAATTTAAGAAGCATTTAGGAATTCTTAAAATGTGAACTTGGGGGGCTGGGGAGGTGGCTCAGTGGAATAATTGCTTTCCTGGCAAGTGCAAGGCCTGAGTTCAATACCCAGTTCTGCAAAAAAAAAAAAAAAAAAAAAAAAAAAAGTAAACTTGGTGGGAATGCTGTCTTGTGTGGTATAACTTCTTGTGTATTTTCTTTTCTACTTCTAGTTTTTCACTCTTATTCCTTAACTTAAAAAAAAAGCTTTTCTACAAATCCATTCTGACTAGAATAAGTATTTTTAGATTTTTACCTGATTTGATATGGCTTGTATCCTTGATTACCTTGCAGTCCATTGTCTGTAAATTGCTGGGAGATTGCTCACCTCTGTGCTGGTGTGCATCCCTACCATTAGTTGTATGTTTTACTTTATAGCCTAATTTTCCTGCTATGTGCTTGTCATGTTTTAGAATGAAATTGATGAGAATTTTTATGCATCAAATGATAGCATTAAAAGTATTTATGTTACTGAAAATGTGATGCAATAGTATATGTTAGCTTATCTCTCTTGGTTTATGAGTGGTCAATACATGAAAAGTGAGGATAAGGGGAATATAAAGATGCAAAAGCATCCTTTAAAAAGCTATTCATGGGCCAGCAAGATAGCTCAGTGGACTGAGTGCCTGCTTAGGCAAGTGCAAGGGCTGTGATTTGATCTCTGGCACCACATGCTGCACTGGCCCCACCCCTGGGCACACTGAGCTGGCCATCAGACCAAACATGGTGGCTCATGCCTGTAATCCCAGCACTGGGGAGGCTGAAAACAGGAGGATCACTACAAGTCCGAGCTGAATAGGGAGACCCTGAATCAAATACATTAAAAATAAATAAATAGCTACTCATATAATACTTACCAAAACTTGACTATAATTGTTGTGTGGTGGGGGAGTGCTGGGGACTGAACCCATGATCTCATGCATGCTAAGCATGCACTGTACCATTGAACTATGCATGAACTAACAGTAAAAGTGAAGTAATTTTAATAGCATAGAAAGAATACCTCTAAGTGCTATTTGAGTACCCATTGTTGGGCCCTTTGTAAGTGGTCTGCAACCAGGAAGGAAACCTGTGCCCCAATATAAATGTTGCACCCATTCCTTCATTGAAAATGTCTTGCAATAAAAAAAATTAGCCTAGGAGAAAGTATTCTCAGTGACACAGCTGATTTATAGTCAAGTAACTATAAATAGTTACTGCAGGATGTAACTAACAATGCTGGGACATGGATTAGCAAGATATAGATGGCATGCTCTGATCATAATAAAGTAGAAGTTAATAGGAAGAAATTCACACTTCTACCCACTAAGAGATTTCATGCATATCTCAAATAATGCCAGTTAAATTATGAACCTGTGTGATGTGACAGAACGTACACACGTGTGTGTGTGTGTGTGTGTGTGTGTGTGCATTTTTTTCACTACTGGGATTGAATCCATGGCCTTCACACTGAGCTACCTCCCTCATACATTTTAGTTTTTTCAATTTGAGGTAGATTCTTACTATATCACTACATTGCCCAGACTGGGCTCAAGATTGTGATCCTCTTGCCTCAGTCTCCTAGTGTTTGGATTATAGAATGTGTCACTAGCTCTATCTCTTTTTTTAATCTGAAACAATTTTAAGAAAATGAAAACTTAGTGTGAGAACCTCATAATCCTAAATACTATATAGTTTTCCCTCTTTCCTGCCTGTTTGTACCTTCCTCTATCTCTAAATTCCTCTATCTCTTTTGCTTTTGTTTTTAAACTGTTGAATACTTAATAGACAGATATTTTTGCTTCTCAGCTTTCTTTCTTTTCTTTTAAAGATTTAAAGATTGAATGTCTCCAGGAGAGTCAAGAGTCGAATATGCAAAAGTTAAAGAATTCAGAACTCATACTTAATAAAGTTAAACAAAAAATGAATGAACTTACAATTAACATCAGGATGAAAGAAGATCTGATTAAAGAACTGATAAAAACCGGTAATGGTATCCTGTGAATGGGCTTATGTGAGGAAGAAAAACTTCTAAAATTGTTTCTGATGTGATACTTACTTTAGGTTTTGAATCTCAGCACGATTACTATAGCTTGGATTAGCTATAAAAAGTTGTGCTTTATAGCAAATACAGAGAGATTAAAAGAACTCTGTTATGCAGGGATTTAACCTATGAATTTTTCTAAGCTCTATGTCCTAAAACTCTATGGCACTTAATTCCCCTTTCCATTAAAAAAAATTCTACTAGGCCACCAGGAATATATCCAACATACTTTCTAACATATTTTTTCTGTATTTTTTTAAAATTTTACTTTATTGAGAAACAAATATCAATGAGACAGTTTCAAAACTGATTAATAGGACAGTTTCAATAGTTAATACATTGTACATTGTTATCTTCTTAGTGGTTATCTGTAGTACAAGATGCAGATAGAATATCCTGTCCGAACACTATTAGTACAAATCTTTCTTCTCATTGAATTAAGAGAAAGTAGCTGTATATCTATCCTAACTATTCTGCGTATATAGATACAAAATAGTCCTTCCTTTGTATCCCCTTTTTTTGTTTAGTCCTGTCAGAAATGGGTATTCCACTGGCACCTAAATACTATAGGTGTGTGAATTCAGCAAAACAATCCAACACAGTCCAGCAGTCCATAATAGTAGTGGGTTATCCACAGAAGTTGTTGACTTGAGCCTTTCACAGCTCAACATATTAATATGGCTTTACTTTATATACCTCATTTTTATACTTTCCTGCTGGATGGTTGAGACCAAGGTAAAGCAAGACCTGTGTAACAAGAAATGTAACTCTTGTATATGATAAGGTCAGTCAAGTAACCTCAGGATTTATCCTATAACCCTGTACTGCAATTTTCAGAAAATACCTGTTCCATATTATGCCTAAGATGTTTGATATTGAGACAGATAGTGAAGTTAAACCCAACTACATAAGTCGTAGGGTAATAATAAGCTTCTCTTCTGGAGGGTTAACAACCTCAGTTTGCAGACCAAAAATTAGAGAAATAGAAGGACTGCAAGGACAGCCAACATTTGACCACAGCCTTTCAAGGTCAGTGAAAACTCAGGACATAGGAGAACCTATATTGGAACATCAGGTAATTCAGTTGTGTCCCAGATTTTCTGATCAAGGAGATCATGAGTTCACAGAGCAATGTGATCGATGACGTAGAGTGTGCCTAAGGAGAGTCACCTGGAGAGAAAACATTCTCTCAGGCTTTCACAGAGAGCAAATTAGTCAAACAATGACCATGACTCATCCACATGGCTGACACTAACAAAGGATTTTTTCTGTATTTTTTAGGGCCTACAGGGTGTTTGGGGGCCTTACTACTAGATTAAACTCCTAGTGATTCTCTTGTTTACAGCCTTCCAAGTGCTGGGATTACAGGCACGAGCCACCATGCCCAGTCTCAATTGCCTTCTCAGTGTGCCCCGGGGCTGGGGCCGGCACAGCAGGCTCAGGATTGAGCCCCTCTCCCCAAACATGCCTACTTGTAGGCACTTTAATCTGCTGAGCTGTTTGGCTGGCCCTTATCTTAAATATTTTAAGTTACTATTTTTATTGACTTAGTTTATCTTTTTTTATTTAGTTCACTTTAATGTTCATTTTAAACCTTTTATTTTGATTTTTTGAGGCAGTCTCAGTATAAATCTAAATTGATCTTCTGCCTCAGTTTACCATGTGCCACCACATCTAGCTAAAATTCATATTTCAGATGTGGGTAGCATTTTTCTGTAAAGATATAAGTCTTCTTCTCCTAGATGAACCAGGATTTTAGCTTTTCTTCTTCATCTAACATCCTCCCAAATTGGGATATTCTCTCCCTGTAGTTAGTTAGATCAGTTTGCCTTATGCAGCCAGCTCAGGATTTTGGGGGTGTCTCCCAGTATACAGTAAAGGATCAAACTTTACAACATCAAAATTCAGTGAAGAACTGAAGGAGTAAGAGACACCAGCATTTCTTTTCTCCAACTCCAGTGTAAAGTAACTCTCTGATCTCGCGGGGGACCTGAAGAAAATACGGTTTTTCCTCTCTTCCAGCCCAAGGCTGTAATCCCACTCAAATGCCTCAGTTATGGTGACAAAGCTGCCTTCCCGCTATTTCTTCTTTCCACAGATTTGGTTTCTAGCCAGTGGTCGGCCTCCCCAAAGCTCTTCCTCCTCCTTTCCTAGTGATGAGTGTGCTGCACATCACCTTGACTCTAGTTGTCCCAGACGTGGGAGTCTGACCATTCTCCTTCCCATGGGCAGGATCAGAGGCCACCTGACCCCACTTTAGGAGCATTTAGCTCTGTCCCACAGCTGTAGGACAGTGCTGAACGACTGGAGAGTATTTGTCCATGGATCTCACTGAACAAGGAGGCATTTGTAACCTGGAGTACCCTTCCTGGTTGCTTTAAAATAGAGGTTACCTGAACTTACACAAGGCTGATTTTCTTTCTCCTTAGAACCAAGGTTGGTTTGGAGCTTTGCTGGAGCTCCTCAGAGAGGGTTGCTAGCAAGAGAGCCTTACATGCTGCTTAAAGTCTTCTTACTGAAGATTTCTCCCAAATTGCAACCAATTCCTTTAGCAATAAGAGAGCATGTATACTGTGCTGAATCAATTCTAATACTTCCAAAATCAGGGTGTGTCTCACAATCAGTGGCAGCTTAGTGTTTTATCTAAGTAGTTGGCACTGAAACTCATAAACTATTGACCTGCTGAACAATTGAACAATTCAAAATTTGTTAGAACATGAAGTATTCATATACGTTTTTAGCTGAACCCAGGAGTTCACATGTGTACTCTTTACCGCTGAGCTATACCTCCAGTCCCAGTTATGTGTATTTTATAGCTAATAGTTTTAGATAGAGATAGTTCACTGTGCATTTAGTTCAGTAACTTCTTATTAAAAAGCACAGGATTTTCATACAGCAGTATGCTGTTCCTGGTGATATGCATCCACTAAGCTAGACTCCCATTTCATACCACCATGAGTTTTCCAGTCTAGTTCTTAGTTCTTAGAAGTTTCCTGCTCAGAATCAATCAAAACCAAACCTTTAGTCCGTAATGTAGATTAGACTGAAAAGAAACTAATTTGTATGTTCCATTTTTTGTGTGTTCTATGTATTCCTCTAAAAGAATTTTAGAACAGTTCATCTTTAGCAAGTCCAGTGTGATGAAAAAGAGAGCCATCTCCATAGCAAAGGATTAAGGACATAATGGCCAGCTGAGATTGTTTAGATCTTGTTTAGATCCCAATTAAAATAAAGCAGTTATGAAAGACACATTGAGACAGTTGGGCTGAATACAGACTATGGGCATTAATATTGTTGGATGTGATCATGACTTTTTGGTTAAGTCCATGTTTTGATTGGATGCTTATATGAAGTTTGCAAAAGTGAGGTGATAAAACATCTGGGATTATTTTTTAACATTTAAGTAAACAAAAATAGGCTTGTTGAAACAACTGATAAAATGTTCATAATGTTTTAATCTGCACAGCATCGGGAGTTCTTTATTATTTACTTTTGGTATGTTTAAAACTTTTCATAATAAATTTTTAAAATTTTTAATTCAAGAAGGTAGATTATGGGTAGCAGGATGCTAACCAAGAGGATAAAGTCACTCGCAGTATCCTGCTTAACTGGAGTTTGATGCCAGGAAAATGCAAATGTCAATTCAGGGGATAAAGAGTGTCATAGGAAAACATGAAAAGGTGAGCTGGGTGAGAGGATGGAGCAGCGCCAGATGGGAATGGCCACTGAGGGGCCTGGTGGCAACACTGCTTGGGAGTGAACGGGCTCTGCTGGCTTTAGTGCCGTACCTTAAATAGCAACTCTGTGCAGCTGGACTTTGTAAAGCAGAGGATTATGCATGTTTTTACGTAGCTTATAATTGTTATTACTGTCATTATGGTAAAGGTAATGATGCCAAGTCTGTAAGCAAGCAGTATTCTCTGAAAGTAACAAGACTGGAGCATGAAGCAGCACAGGCGAAAGTCGAGCTGACTGAGACAGAGAAGAAGCTGGAGGAGCTGGAGAGCAAGGACCCTTCTGATGTTGCTCTGAAGATAAAACTACAGAAGGAATTCCGGAAAAAGATGGATGCTGCAAAACTGAAAGTCCAGGTAGCTTAAGATGTACTTGAGAAAACTATTTAGGTCTTCCTTTCTTAAGTGAGAAATTCTTATTTGGAATCCTTGAGGATTTTTGTACAAAATCTGGACAGGAGTAGGATTCAGTTTTTATTGCATGACAAATTATCTTTCCAGTGAGTGTAATGGTTGGCTTATATATGTTACAATCTAGATAGTATATTTCTTACTCAAGAAGTATATTATTTTGAATTGGTGGGTAGCTCACTGGTATAGTGCTTGCCTAGTCTATATAACACCACATGCATACACAGAGTATATTGTTATAATTTTGACATCAAAAACTACATGGAGAGCTGGAGAAATAGCTCAGCAGACTAAAGGCCTACTTACGCAAGTACAGGGACTAGGGTTCAATCCCTGGCACCACATGCCATGTCAGCCCTGCCCCCAGGTGTGCTAGCCACCCACTGAGACAAAACCTGTAATCTCAGCTCTGGGGAGGCTGACAGCAGGAAGATCACTAGGAGTGTGACCTACATAGTGAGACCCTGTACCAAATACATTAAAAAAAGAAAGATAGACAGATAGACAGACAGACAGACAGACTACCTGGAGGGGAATAGGAAGATAGCTCAATGTCATAAGCCCCTGCCTTGCAAGCCCCGGGTCCTGAGTTTGATCCCTGGTACCAAGACAAACAAACAAACAGAAAAACTACACGGAGGGAAATAAGGGTAATGATAACCACAAAAATAGTACCCTTTTCTAAGGAACAGAAGATTAAATGAAGATTAAACAATACTTGTAAAACACCAGTTATATATGTGGTACTTTGTTGACAATAAAGCAATGCAAACTAGTTTGGACATGTTCAGAAACCATACTGATTGGTTTAAGAAAAGTTAATAACTGAACACTTAGTTCTTTCATTTTGTATTTCTTGGGACAGCATCTCACTATGTAGTTTAAGCTGGCTTTGAACTCACTACATAGAGTACTTCCTAATGCCTGAATTTAGTTATAATTTCAGAAGTCACTGTAGTTAAAAATTCTACTCTAGAGCTGGCTTGGAGTGGTAGAGTACTTGTCTAGCATATATGAGGTCCTGGGTTTAATCCCTACCACTGGAAAAAACAACTATTCTGTGAGAAATATTCCATTTCAGAGAGATTTTTGTGTAAGGAAGCCACTTCTAGATATATATGTTAACTTGAATTCAGTCATAATAAATTTTATAGAATGGCTCCTCTGGTTCTTTTTCTGTCTTAGTCTACTGCTTTTCTATTGTAGAAACAATATTCCCTTGTGGGCCTGTCAAAAATAAATGAAATAGAGGAAATGGCTGTCCTGCTCATTGACTGAAATGATTAAGTTTAGTTGGGGAATGTAAGAGCTATACATTTTCATGTTAAAATATTTTGTATGATCTCAGGTCTTACAGAAGAAGCAACAGGATAGTAAGAAATTGGCATCATTGTCGATCCAAAAGGAGAAACGTGCTAATGAACTAGAGCAAAATGTAGACCACTTAAAGTATCAGAAGGTACAGCTGCAAAAGAGATTTCGAGAAGAAAATGACAAAAGGAAACAACTGGATGCAGAAATTAAGCGGGATCAGCAAAAAATCAAAGTAATATTGTCATACATTCCTGCTAAATATAATGTGAGATGTCAGATGGCTCAGAAATAACAGAGCTGAGGTGCTAATTCCATTGTGAAGTATCTGTCCTTGACCTGCCCTTCACTTCTGTTCTTATTCATTTTAAAGCTTTGTTCATCTGCCTAGTACAGTAAAACCTATTTATTGAATTTTGAGTACTGTCTTGAAGCTTTGACTTCACAAAAGAAGGTAAAGTGATCATATTTCTCTTAGTAGACTATTAATTTTAGCAGAAACTGTCCACAACATCATTTTATAAGGCTGACTTCTGAATAACGTTGAATAGGAGTTCCAGTTCTCAGAGTGCTGTGACCTGAACTGTCCAATGGCCCAGGAAGCAAGTCCTGAGTGAAGTGGTACCACTTCCTTCCGAGTGAGCGAAAGAGTGGTGAGACTGTCTGCCAGCAGTTCCTAGCATAAGTCACTCTGGGGGCAGGAGGTAATGCCAGCCTGGGCTCCAGAGGTGGGCAGCTCGAGTTCAGATCCCAGCAGTGTAGACGATGGCTGAACTGTGTGGAGAAAGTCATTCGCGCTGTCTGCTCTGTGACTCTGCCTTCTTCTCTGCATGGCCTCACACGACCTCTGCAGTACATGCTGATGATCATAACAAACACTAAGCCCTGTGTGCCAAGCTCTGTTCTCTGCAAACAATGAAAAGGACCCAGGGCCCAGAACACAATTGGAGGCTTACTAATTTTTTTCTAAAGTAAGACTTTATCTTTTCTTTTTTTAGAGCAGTTTTAGGTTCACAGAAAAATTGAGAAGAATATAACTACTATCTCCACACATCATAGCTTCCATGACTAGAACCCCCATCCAGATTTGCTAGATTTTAAACATTGAATGTAACCCAAATTTAGACTGGAGGATCACTATAAGTCCAAGATGCATAATAAGAGGTCCTGTACCAAATAAACAGACAAACAGACAAACAAATTTTTTTAGATCACATAATTTAGTTGTGAGGGGGATTTTTTTTTTTTTTTTTGTACCAGGAATTGAATTCTAACCTCAGGCTTGCCAGGTAGGAGCTAAATCCCCTGCCCCATGGGAGGGATCTTAAAGACCATTTACAATATTTTGAAAAAACAACTTTATTAACATACAGTTTACATATATACAATTCACCCCTTTATTTGTCTTTTTGAGACAGGGTATTTCTATGCAGTTCAGGCTGCCTTAAGCTCATTTTGAGCTAGTCTGAAAACCACAATAATACTCCTGCCTCAGCTTCCCAGGTACTGGGATTACAGGTATATACCACTATGCCCCGCAACAATTCACCCATTCAAAATGAATAATTTAGGGTTGGCCAGATATCTCAGTGGATTAAAGTGTCTGCTTAGGCAGATGCAGGGACCAGGGTTCGATCCCCAGCATGCAGTGCCAGCCCCGTTCCCAGGAGTGTTGAGACGGCGATTGAGATTGGGCATGGTGGCATGCCTATAATCCCAGGCCTTGGGAGGCTGAAAAATAGGATCACTACCAGTCCAATCTGTGTAGTGAGACCCTGTAGATCCTGCACTAAAATAGACCCTGTAGATCCTGCACATAGAAATAAAGTGAATAATTTAGTGGGTTTTGATATATCACATTACTAAATTTTGTAAACAGTGTATAATTTAGTGGCATTAATTGCATTCATAATGTTATACAACTGTCACCTCTGTTGCCAGAACTTTTTCATTACCCCAAAGAGAATCTCTATTCAAAAGCAGTAACTTCCTATTCTTCCTGTTCTCCATTCTCTGATAACCTCTAATTATTTTTTCTTTTTCTTTTTCTCTTTCTCTCTCTGTCTCTCTCTGTCTCTGTCTCTGTCTCTCTGTCTCTCTGTCTCTGTCTCTCTCTCTCTGTCTCTCTCTGTCTCTCTCTCTGTCTCTCTCTCTTTTCACCAGCTCAGACCACCCTGGGGGCGGTGCAGGGCTGGTGTGGCATATGGTGCTGGGGATCAAACTGCACTCTCTATACTTTCTCTCAGCTTGCCTAAGCAGGCACTTTAGACTTGGTAAACTATCTTGCCAGCCTGGCTCTAATTATTTTCTGTGCCTATGAATTTGCTTTTTCTGGATAAGTCACGTAAGTGGAACTGTATTTGTCCTTCTGTGTCTAACATTTCATTTTCCATTTTGTGTGCAAATTTTATCTATGTTGTACAAAGTATCAAAACTTCATTGACCTTCACAGCTAATGATATTCCATTATAAAACTGGGAATAGTAGTGCTCAGGAGGCTGAGGCAGGAGTATCTCTTAAGCCTGGCAATTCAAGACCAGCATGGAAAATATATGAGTCAGAACTCATTAAAAGAAAGAAAAAAAAACCTATCGTGTGACTATAGTACTTTTGTTTATCCATTTATTTAAAGTGCTCAAAAAGCAACGTAGCAGTATGTAAGGATGTAGATGTTGATTAGCTTGACTGTAGTAATCATTTCACTAAATATATGTATATTAAAACATCATCTTGTATACTTTATATATGTTTGTCTATTGTTGTGGTACCAGGGATCAAAACCAGTGGTATGCTAAACCTGAAATAAGTTCCCAACCCCTTTTATTTTTTATTGTGAGGTAAAGTCTCACTAAATTGCCTTACTGGCCTGAAACTTGCTATCCTACTTGCCTCTGCCTCCCAGCTTGCTGGGATTAGACTCATATGTGTAATCTTTAATCTTTAAAATTCAATTGGGTATAGATACATAATTTCTGACCTTTCATTTCTGTTCCATTGGCTTATCTCTATCCTCATGGGAGTACAACAATATTTTGGTTACTGCAGTTTTAGAGTATAGTTTTAAAATCAGGAAGTAAGCCTTCTAGTTTGCTCTTTTTTGTTATAGTTTTACTTATTTATTTATTTAAATTTAAAATTAAATGAGATAGGGTGTCTCTATGTAGTTCAGGCTGGTCTCGAACTCATTATGGAGCCTAGGCTGGCCTTGAACTTGGGACAATCCTCAGCTACTGCTGGGATTACAGACATGCACCACCCTGCCTGGATTGTCATTTTAAGTAGGTGGTATGTTTCCAATTCACAGATCTGCCTCAGCCTCCTGAGTGCTGGGGTTATAGGTGTGTGCCACCTTGCTTGGAAATGTTGCTGTACTTTTCCAAGATTGTTTTCATTGTTCAAGGACCTTGACATTACATATGAATTTAAGGATCAACTTTTCAACTTCTGAAAAAGAGGCTATTGAAAGAAAAAAATTTTAACAGATTAAAAAATTTATTTATTTGGTACAGGATCTCACTATGCAGCTTGGACTCACAGTGATTCTCCTGTCTCAGTCTCCCCAGTACTGGGATACAGGCATGTGCCACCATGCCTGACTGGCACGGCATTCGATACCAGGGATCAAACCCAGGTCCCTGTGCTTGCCAGGCAGGCACTTAGACTGCTGAGCTATCTCCTCAGTCCCTGAAATTTTGATAGGCTTTGCATCCAATCCAGATTTCTGAGTCTGTTGATGTCTTGACTCTACAGTCTTCCTATCTATGACCATGGGCTGGCTATCTTTCCACTTACTTTGATATTCTTTAATTTTTTTCTTCAGTTCTTTCAAATTTTCAGTGTACTATTTTTTACTTGCTTACATTTATTATATTTATTCCCAGATTATTCTTTTAAATTATTACTGTAAATGGAATTGCTTTCTTAAATTCTGTGAGCTACTTATTCTTTTTTTTTCTTTTCAAAGTTTTATTGATAAACATATAGCAATGAGACAGTTTCAAATCAAATCAAAAGTACAGTTTCAACAAATAATACACTGCATATA